TTTATTCATCATGTTAAAATAAAACATTCCATAATCAATTTTTCTTTTTTCAATTTTTCCAATTTTTCGGAAAAAAACAAAAAAGGCTTCAGGGGAAAAACGGGTTTTTTCCCCAAATTTTTCCCGGGTTTTCACATCTCTATCTGCCACTGAGCCACAGCCCGTTCTCCAGTGTCAACATTCCATCTGCCACAAGAAAAACTGCATGGGGATTATATCATTGGCCGGTGTGCTGATTATATGCTCCTGAGAAATATCCTGTAAAACTAGGAAGGGGAACCGGCCTTGCGCCGAGAAAGGTGCATAATTCAACCAGGCTCGTATGTAACATTGGTCAGAACAGAATCCAGCTTGGATCCAGCAATGCAAAAGTAGAAACAGAGAAACGACTCAGGGCAGTTCACCAGATGGAAAACCAACCTACTTTGTAAATCGGTGGCAAGTCTCACTGACTCAGCAGGACTTGCTTCTGAACAGACACAAACAGAACTGGAGATGCAAGGGCAAAGAGCATTTGCAAGAGTTACGGAAATAATAAATAGATTAGTGTCGACCTAACAGAGATACACTCCAATGCATCTGATGAAGTGCCTGCTGACTCATGAAAGCTTCCACTGTGTTAGTCTTGAAGGTGCCACTGGACTCCTGTTTTATTATCTTGAGTCTTACCTTATCCGTACGCGGGGCGTCTTTTGCCAGTTCTCCCCAGTCGTGCACAAAGTCTGGCTCCTTTGGCATTATCTCAGCCAAATCCTCCTCCTCCTCCTCATCTTCAGAGCTCGTTTCTACGTTGCCTTTCCCCCTGGCCAAATCGGGCCCGCTGTCGTCTTCGTCACCATCCGTCTCGCTTTCCTCTCCTGTCTCTCCTCTGTCTTCTGAGTCGCTCTCCTCTGTCGTTTCTCCTTCATCCCCCAAACTGCTTCCCTCTTCCAGATCTCCGCTATCTGCTGACTCGCTTTCCTCTTCGGTTTGTCCACCGACGGCTAATTCTTCAAGCTCGGAGCTCTCCTCCTTTTTACATGTTTCACTTGCTACGTCGTTTTTGTGGATGTGAGCGGCAGAGAAATCACCTCCCTTTGCTATACAAAGAAGAAAGTCATTAGATGACATGGTTAGTGCACTTTTATACGGCTACATTGGAGCAAAGATTTTCCTTAAAAAAAAAAAAGTCATGGCAAATCTCGCTACCCCCAAAACAAGAAGAGCAGACAATAACTATTGGGTGTAAAAGAGAGTAAAACGTCCTAATAGGAGGCCTCACTGCTCACGCTGCATCAGATTTCCTTTAACCAAATACATACAGACGACAGTAAACCAAATGGGAGCACCTCAACGAAGACAGCTCTCCATAATGATCCATACAAGTGGCAAGGAGAAATCTTTATCAAGATGTCTACAGATCAACAGGCTTGGAAGCGGCCAGTTTGCTCACGCCATCTCATCTCATTCACCTCCTTCCTCCAGCCCAGATTACACACAACTTTTGTTCATGCAGGCCCTGTGATATCGGAACATAAGAAGAACCCTGCTGGATCATACCAGTGAGGGTCCATCTAGTCCAGCATCCTGTCTCACACAGTGGACAACCAGTTCCTCTAGAACAGTGGTGGCGAACCTATGGCACAGGTGCCAGAGGTGGCACTCAGAGCCCTCTCTGTGGGCACGCGTGCCATCGCCCCAGCCAGGCCCAGACCATCATTAAAGTGTCAAATTTTCTGCCAAATAATTTTAAGTAAATGAAAGCATTTGGCTTTCCTTACTATGTTTGGATCATCTTAAGTTAATGTTTGAGTTGTTTTTTCTAAAGTAAAATCTCAGTATTCAGGTTAAACTGCCGTGTTGGCACTTCGCGATAAATAAGTGGGCTTTGGGTCGTAGTTTGGGCACTCGGTCTCTAAAAGGTTCGCCATCACTGCTCTAGAAGGCCAACAACAGGACATAGAGGCCGAAGTCTTCCCCTGAAAAGAACATAAAAAAACCCTGCTGGATCAGACCAGTGAGGGTCCACCTAGTGCAGCCTCCTGTCTCACACAGGGGCCAGCCAGTTCCTCTGGAAGGCCAACAACAGGCCATAGAGGCCGAGGCCTTCCCCTGAGGTTGCCTCCTGGCTCTGGGATTCAGTGCCTCTGAATGTGGGGGTTTCCCCTCAGTCACCATGGCTAGTAACCACTGGTAGACTTATCCTCCATGAATCTCTCTAACCCCCCTTTCAAGCTGTTTAATTCCCGGGGCCATCACTACATCCTCTGGCAGCGAATTCTACATCGTAATCACTCTTTCTGTAAAGTAGTATTTCCTGTGGTCTTGTCCTGAACCCATTGCTTCATTGGATGCCCTTTGTCAAGAAACAAGCCTATCAGACCTGTAAGTGTTTGCATTGTTTAGTTTAATTAGTAAGTCTTAGCAGAATCACGTGAGTAGAACAGGTCACTCTGATACAACCACCTGTTAACAATTACCGGTTGTTACAACTTAGTGGTCGATGTCTAGTTGCAATGATATACTGAGCCGCTTTACTTATATTTATTGGATTTAGGTACATAAGAACATTAGAACATAAGAGACGCCAATGTTGGATCAGGCCAAAGGCCCATCCAGTCCAACACTCTGTGTCACACAGTGGCCAGAAATACCAAGTGCCATCAGGAGGTCCAGCAGTGGGGCCAGGACATTAGAAGCCCACCCACTGTTGCTCCCCCCCAAGCACCAAGAAGACAGAGCATCACTTGCCCCAGAGCCCCTATCTATACCTTGTGGCTAATAGCCACTGATGGACCTCTGCTCCATATGCCTATCTAATTCCCTTTTGAAGCTGTCCATGCTTGTAGCCACCACCACCTCCTGTGGCAGAGGTAAAGTTGTTTTATGGATCGATTGTTTTATGTATGTTGGTTTTAGTGATGCTGTGAGCCGCCCTGAGCCGCTTCAGCGGAAGGACGGGATAAAAGCCGAATAAATAAAATAAAAATAAAAATAATTAGTGCACCTGGATACTGTTAAACCTCAGCATGACTAAGGGAAATCTTGACAGCCAAAGATCTAGATCACCAGGTGCAAACCACTAATTAGGGTAGTGCTTACATGACAGCTGTGCTACTATTTAGTAGGAAGCAAGCAAGCAACAAGAGGCCAGCCAGAAAAGCCAGAGCGAGCCAGAAGCTGAGTCTGGACGCTCGGAACTGCATGCATGTGCTCAAGGTTATGCTGGAATGAGAGGCCGGGAGGTATGCAGGAGAATTACAGCACCCTCCCGGGAGAGATAAACGGTAACCTTGGTCTAGGACTGTTACGTTGGAAGAGGCAAGGCTATATTCCCTGGCACAAAGCCCAGCGACTTCAGTATTGCTGCTGAAGACGACCTACTCAAGGTTAAGTAAATACAGAGAGTTAGGTTTCTTTGTTTTGTTGTCTTTGTACACTCGTCTTTTCCCTCACTTCCTTGTGCTTCTGTTATTGTTCTTTGTAAGAAATGTACATTTTTATAATTGGACCAGGTCACTGGCCCATCCATTACGCCTTCGGAAACGCTCAGGCTATTTGAAAAGATAGAGCTACCGAACTATTTCATTTTATTCACTATTGTGTTGGTCTCTAAGGTAGCCCTAAGCGTGGGTGGTAGCATAGAGGCAGCAGGGCGGGGTCGTGACACCCTCGAGCTCTGGTATTCCTTGAGAGGGGGAGAAAGTTCTCTTTGTCCACTCTCTCCACCCCACGCATAATTTTACAAACCTCCTTCACGTCCCCCCTTAGTGGTCTCTAAGTCCCAGACTCTTCAGCCTGTTCGGTGTGGTGATTGAGTGTGGGGACTCTAATATGGGAGAACCGGGTTTGATTCCCCACTCCTCCACTTGCACCTGCTGGATGACCTTGAGCAAGCCGTAGTTCTGATAAGAGCTGTCCTTGAAGAAAGAGCAGTTTCTGTCAAGAGCTCTCTCAGCCCCGCCTACTTGTGGGGAGGGGAAGGGAGAGGAGTTTGTGAGCCGCTCTGAGACTCCCTTGGGTAGTGAAGGGCGGGGTATAAATCCAATCTCTTCTTCTCTTCTTCTAAATCCTAAAGCGGCCAGGGACCAGTTTGGTGTCATGGTTAAGTGTGCGGACTCTAATCTGGGAGAACCAGGTTTGACTCCCCACTCCTCCACTCGCACCTGCTGGATGACCTTGGGCAAGCCGTAGTTCTGATAAGAGCTGTTCTTGAAAAAGAGCAGTTTCTGTCAAGAGCTCTCTCAGCCCCACCTACCTCCCAGGGTGTCTGTTGAGGGGAGGGGAAGGGAAAGGAGTTTGGAAGCCGCTCTGAGACACCTTTGGGTAGTGAAGGGCGGGGTACAAATCCAATCTCTTCTTCTTCTCCTCTTCTCCTCAGCCCCTTAATCATCTTGGCTGCCCGCCTCCAGTAAAGCCTTTTCCTGGGCGCTTGGAGGAGACCCTCTCCTCCTTTTCTGTCCACCAGGCTGTCAGGGCCTGTACCCTCCCAGGCCAACTCGGAAGCCTTCCGCCAGCGACTCAAGTCTTTTTCTAACTTGAGTAGCTCTTCCTTTTCTGTCAGCTTCAGCCTTGGCGGGGCGGAGTGGCAGAACACGAGACAACAATTCATTCGTTTGTTTACTTTATCCACATCCCGCTTTTCTCCCCAAAGGAGACCCAAAGCGGCTTACATCGTCATCCTCCTCGCCTTGGTTTTATCTTCACAACAGCCCTGTGAGGTAGGTTAGGCTGAGAGTGGGGTGAACTTGGCCAGGGTCACCCAATGAGCTTCCATGGCCCACGTGGGGATTTGTGCCTGGGTTTCACAGACCCTACTCTGACACTTTAACCTGGGGGTGTCAAACACGTGGCCCGGGAGGCCAGAACAGGTCCCCGGAGGGCTCCTGTCAGGCGAGCAGTGGAGCTGCCCGTCTCCTGCTTCCTCTTCCAGTTCTGCTGCTGCTGCGCCATTGTAGGTTTGCAGCTTACAGATACACACCTGAACAGCGTACTCAAGACTGCAACAGCACACAGACATTCTGGTGCGGTAATTCAGAGCAAGAGGTGTCGGTTATCAGACACTGCTAAATAAACTAAATATTGCAAGAGTCCTGATGTTTTAAGCATGTTTTTATTTTAAGTAAAAAGAAACCCTCTTTGTGTTTGTATCCTTTATAAAGTTTATATCTCTCCGCTACCTGGCACTGCATTTCATGACACACACGGCCCGGCCCAACAAGGCCTCCTTTATGTCGGAGCCGGCCCTCATAACAAATGAATTTGACACCCCTGCTTTAACTGCTACACTAGGCCAGATCTCCAATATAATTATGGGGTGGTGGTGAAGAACCACCATATTTATTCAGGAAAAGGCCCCCCAAGTCATTTATTTATTTTTATTTATTTTTAATTTAACTTTCAGTTTATATACTGCTCTGACCCCGAAGGGTCTCTGAGCGGTTTACATACACTTAATTTCCTACCTAGGGGGAGGGACTGCCTACCAGCACCCAGGCGGTGCGTTCTGTTGGTGTATTCAGCGGGCTTCAGATGATACTCCCGGCGCCCTAGGACGGGTCGACGACTTTTTCCAGTGGGCTCATCCGGCATGCGGCCGCGCGTCAACTGCAGCTCCGGCTCTCGTCCCCTCAGGCTCCGCCGCGCTGTGCTGCCACAGCTCCGCTTCCATCCGGCCTCCGTCACCCAGCGTCACCGGGTTAACTGCTCCGTTGCCGCCTCCGCCGCTAACACTCCTGCCACATGCCATTCGCAGGAGGAGGGTGCCCCCTGCCACCTAGGGGCAGGTACCCATTTTATCTACTTGCGTTTATGCTTTCGAACCGCTGGGTGGGCGGGAGCTGGGACTAGGGTCGGGAGCTCACCCTGGCCGCGGTGGGTCTCGAACAACCATAGTGGCTGTTCACTGATGTTACAGCAGGCGTCTTACTGCCTGCGCCACCGCTCCATTTGACCCACCTCCGGGGGAAATCTGTTTAACGGTCACTGTGTTTTCACTCGTTCCCAGGGGTCATTTCCTGCCGAAGTAGGAGGTGTGGCATATGCAAATGAGCTCTGCAAATGAGCTCATGCACCTCTTTTTCCACAAAAATGACCCCTGCTCGTTACTACAGACATCCAGATGGGCCGCCTGGGCACTCTGACCAACACACCACATTGGCTAGTCGCAAAACAAATTGGTTGTCTCGAACAAAACGGGGTGGCAGTATGTGTAGTGTTGAAGCTGAAGGCAGCAGGAACAAGAGGGAGACCCAATGGAGGATGGATTTACTCAGTCAAGGAAGCCGCAGCCCTTGGTTTGCGGGACCTGAGCGAATCTGCTGACAGTACGGGATTTTGGAGGTCACTGATTCATAGGAGGCGAAAGTAAAATTGACACTCGCAAGATATCGGAATGCCTTATTTTCTGCTGCTTTTAGGAACCGTTGGATCTCACTGCTTTCAATACGCTCTTCACTTAAACGTCAAGGGGATAATGTTTCCCATCTGATGTTAGACAGTGACCTGAACGCAACCTCCTTGGTCACCAGATTTCTGTCTAACATATTTAACCTTTAGAACGAAGTCTGAGTCCAGGGGACACCTTTAAGACCAACAAAGTTTAATTCTGGGTAGAAGCTTTTGTGTGCACGCATGCTTCACTGAACAGCTCATACCCAGGATTAAACTTTGCTGGTCTTAACGCTGCCACTGGACTCAAACTTAGTTCTATCGCTTGAGACCAACGTGGCTACGCACCAGAACCTATCTTCCTTTAGTAAATGATGTATTATTCTTTTAGACACTGCTCAAGGTCATCTGGTCATAGGGCCCTGACCTGGATAGCCCAGGCAAGCCCGATCTTCTCAGATCTCGGAAGCTAGGAAGGGCCGACCCTGGGACATACTTGGATGGGAGACCGTCAAGGAATACCAGGGCCAGGACCAGTGTTCCCTCTAAGCTGAGTTGGTGTGAGCCAGCTCACAATTTTTTAGCCTCTGGCTCACAGATTTTTTAGTTCCAGGCACCCAAACCCAACCCCCCCCCCCCCCAAAAAAAGAGATTACCTGATCATAGGAGCTCTGAAAAGGAAAGTAAGTGAATAAATAAGAGTACATAGTTTTGACCAACCATACCCATGTTCAAGTTTGCATTTAGCTATAAAACTCATTGGCTGATCTTGGGCTACTCATGAGCCTAATCTACCTCGCCAGGTTGTTGTAAGCAGAAATCAGAGGCCAACCTAAAATGGGATTCCACACACAGAAACCTTATTAAAGCACGAAAGAAGTTGTTCGTTATTGCCGAAACCTTAAACTTCCTTGTAAGTAAAACTTACTTCCAAGGAAAAGCAGCAAGGATCTGGGTCACAAACAATGGTTTAACTGCATTCCACCAACCTAATTCAATTCTTCCTCTGCTGCGACCTTCTGTTGCTTTACCAGAGCCTTCTAGAATCTTCTGTGAAGTTCTCTGAGGTAAACCTGTGTTCTCCACAGAAACTCCTCTTTGCTTTTTGGGTGCAAGGTCCTCCTTCTCTCGTGGCAATTCGGCGGCATTTGTTCCTTTCAGATTCTTTTGGGGCATGAGGGATTTCTTTTCCCGCCCTCCCTTTTTAGAAGAATCTAATTTTGAAATTGACAAGTCATTTATCACTTTCTTTTCCCCCTCAGAGTTCTCAGGGCCAGACCTCCCGGAGTCACCTTCTCCTTTCGGTTTTGCCTTTTTCACCTTCGTTTCCTTCTCCTCCTCCGACAGATCAGAATCAGACAGGGCGTAGAAGCGCTTCATGTCTTCCGTGGAGCTGCGATGAACCGGCCGCCCTCGCTTATCCACCGTGTATTTCAGCTTGAATTTCTTGTCGTGAAACATCGCCTGAAACCTTTTATCGATTTTGACCTTGCGCTCTTTCTCTGGCATTTCCCAAAAGCGAGGGTCTTTGTTAACGCGGGTGAACCGCTGGTCGTTCACGAGCTCTTTCTTCAGCGACATCTTGATGCCTTTTTAAAAAAATAATTCCAAGGTTGAACTATGGAGAAAAAAAGAAAGATTACATCCACAAAGTGCCCACCATCACAAAGAGAAGAATAAGAGCTCACTATAAAATTACAGAGGAAGTTCTTGCAAAGTAGCAAAGTGTCATTAAGTCGGCTAATAATTTCACACTGCTATTTATTATCTTTAAAGCCCTTTATGGCCATTCGGCCAGGGAACTGCATATCTGAGGGACCGCCTTTCCCCATATGCCCCCCAGGGAGCGCTGCGATCGGGGACGCAGAATTGGCTGGTTCTCCTGAATATCAAGGCGGGCCAGGGCCAGGGCCTTCTCAGTGGCGGCTCCGCTCTGGTGGAATGAGCTCCCGGAGGAGATCAGGGCCCCGTGGGACCTGTTACAGTTTCACAGGGCCTGTAAGACGGAGCTCTTCCGCCAGGCCTTTGGAGCTGCCACCACCACTGACACCTGACAGAGCGAGCCCGACCCCCTGAGTCCCCCAATAACAGCCCGACCCGATCGCCCTGGACATCTGAAGAAGATTAAGGAGCTGACTGTACGCCAAGGAATTAATACTAGTACTTTAATATGTTGTTGTATTTATGGTTTTAAATTTGTGTTTTAATGGATCTTATACTGTATGTTGTATTATTGTATTGCATTGTTTTATTTCGCTGGTGTGAGCCGCCCTGAGCCGGCCTTGCTTGGAGGGCGGAGTTAAAAAAATCAAATCAATAAATAAATATACTCAGGGTCAGTGTTCCCGCTAAGCTGAGCTAGTGTGAGCTAGCTCACAGTTTTTTAGCCTCCGGCTCACACATTTCTGTCTTCATTTAGGGAGGAGGGCTCCAGAGCAAACTAATCTATGCAGCAGCCCAATCGCTCACTCATAACTTTAATGCCAGTAGCTCACAAAGTAGAAATCTTGCTCACAAGACTCCGCAGCTTAGAGGGAGCATTGCCTGGGGTGTGTGCACATTATTCACTTCAGAGTCTATTGCGTGGTCTAGGCCAGGGGTCCCCAACCTTTCTGAGCCTGCACACACCTTTGGAATTCTGACACGGCATGCTGGGCACACAGTGAAGATCAATGTTCCCTCTAAGTAAGTGGAGTCTTATGAGCAAAAATTCTACTTTGTGAGCTACTGGCATTAAAGTTGTGAGCGAGCCATTTGGCTGCTGCATCAATTACCGTATTTTTCGGACCATAAGACGCACCTGACCTTAAGTTTTTAAAGAAGGAAAACAGTTTTTAAAGAAGGAAAACAGGGAAAAACATATTCTGAACCTTCGGCCCATAAGACGCACTCACTTTTCCTCCCACTTTTTTTGGAAGAAAAAGTGAGTCTTATGGTCCAAAAAATACGGTAGTTTCCTTTGGAGCCATCCTTCCTGAGCTAAGGCAAAAATGTGTGAGCCGGAGGCTAAGAAACTGTGAGCTAGCTCACACTAACTCAGCTTAGAGGGAACACTGGTGAAGATTCTGGTGCTGTGGGTGGGCAGCTGCACAGCCCATCAAATCTCCAGTGGCCAATCAGAAGCCTTGCTGGGCAAAAGCCCCAACTGGCCCCACCCACTTCCTAAAAAGACTTGACAGGCCCCAGAGAAGCTGCCAACGGGCACCATGGCTCCCACGGGCGTCATGTTGGGGATCCCTGGCCTAGGCACATGGGACTCGTTTTGCATCATCTTCTCAACAGCAACCCCTTTACGCTAAACTGAAAGCTGATTCCAAAACGTCAATGGATGAGAAAGAGCTCCTGCAGCCCAAGGGGAATGTTATAGTGGACAGAATGCAGACAGCCTCATGCATTCATTTTGTGTATACCCCTGTCTTTCTTGAGCCAGTCTGGTGTAGTGGTTGGGAGAGCCGAGTTTGAATCCCCACGCCTCCACATGCAGCTGCTGGTGTGACCTTGGGTCGGTCACAAGTTCAAACATGATGCGGGGTCGATTTAACAATATCCCCCACCAGGAAAGACTCTGCAGATGTCTCAGCATGGCCCTAGACTCAATCTTCCATACTATTCTGGACTGCCAGCCGCACACATCTTCACATATGAAACTGTTACCCCTTCGGCCACACTTATTTACTAATAATCTTAAAACTGTTCAATAGCTTCTTAACGGTGTTAATACTGGTACTACAATTATGGTTGCAGAATTCTTAGCTCAATCAGCCGCACTTAGAATCTTTTTACATAATACTCATATTTTATTGTCTAAATTTACTTACTGGAATTCAATGTATCTTCTTAAATGTATTTATTATATACTATGCCATTAAAGGTGTCCGAATCTGAATCACGTTATCTCAGAGCTGTTCTCTCAAGAGCAGTCCTCAAAGGAGCTCTCTCAGCCCCACCTACCTCACAGGGTGTCTGTTGCAGGGAGGGGAAGGGAAAGGAGATTGTAAGCCGCTCTGAGTCTCCTTTGGGTAGTGAAGGGCCGGAGGATATAAATCCAATCTCTTCTCTTCTTCTTCTCTAGGGGGACCCAAAGTTGCTCACATCATTTTCCACACCTCCATTTTTATCTTCACAATAAACCTGAGATGGAGGCTGGGCTGAGAGCTTGTGACTGGCCCATGGTCACCCGGCAAGTTCTCAAGGCAGAGGAGACATTTGCAGGATTAGGACCAGCGTTCTAGCTGTGTAGTCCTAAACAGACTTACACTCTTCTAAGTCCCACTGAAGTAAATAGGCTCAAAATGGCGTAACTCTGCTTAGGATGGTTCGATGTGTTATTCTAGACCCCTGCCTCCACCATTCCATATACTGGAACGTCTCCCTCCTTTCAAATTCTAAACGAAAAAGAAACAGAGACTCAGTCTATATTACAGGGGATAGTTAGGCTAACTGTCACAGCGTTAAAGGTGCCACTGGACTCCAACTTGGTTCGACGGCTTCGGACCAACACCGCTACCCACCTACATAAGAACACAAGAGACGCCAATGTTGGATCAGGCCAGTGGCCCATCCAGTCCAGCATTCTGTAACACGGTGGCCAAAAACACCAGGTGCCCTCAGGAGGTCCAGCAGTGGGGCCAGGACACAAGAAGCCCTCCCACTGTTCCCCTCCCCCC